AGCACTCCGCCTAAACCGTAATCAGAGGCGTCTGCCTGGACAATGGTTTCTTTGTCAGCCTCGAAGTGCGATAGCATAGTTGAGTCGCATATCTTTGTCTTTATGGCATCAAATGCGTTTTGACATTCTGGTGACCAAATAAACTCCACGTCCTTGCACAGAAGTCGGCTGAGTGGAGGTTTTAAACTGTGCAACCCAGTGATGAACGGACCGTAGTAGCTGACCAACCCCATAAACGATTGCAGCTCCTTCGTGTTCTTCGGCACTTTCATGTTCTGGAATGCCTTCACCCTCTCTGGGTCAGGGGCACGCCCATTCTCGTTGACTATGAACCCGAGATAGTGAATCTCCTTCCGCAAAAATTCACTTTTCTCCATATTGATCTTAAGGCCGTAGTCGATCAGATTGTACACAACCTGGTCCAGCCTTTGAGTCAGCTCTTCCTCTGAGCTACCGACAACCAAAATATCGTCCAGATATGCAATAGTCCCGGGAACATTCGTAAGCATCGTATCCATAATCTGCTGGAACACACTAGGCGCCGTTTTCACGCCATAGTTTAGGCGAGTGTATCTGAAGAGACCCTTATGCGTATTTATGGTCAAAAGCTCCTGTGCTTTCTCGTCCACCTCAATTTGCAAGTAAGCTTCGGATAGATCGATTCTTGCAAAGACTTTCCCTCCATTTAGAGTAGCAAAAATCTGCTCTAAGGTTGGCAGCGGGTAATGGTAATCTTCTAGTGCGTCGTTCAAACCCGTTGAATAATCCGCGCACAATCGTATTTGTCCGTTTGGTTTCTTCACCGCCACGACTGGGGCAGCCCAAGCTGAATAATTGGTAGGATAGATTATGCCCTTTGCCTGTAACCTTTCCAGTTCAGCTTCTACGGACGACTGTACCGCAAACGGGACTCGTCGGCTCTGCTTGAAGACTGGCTTTTTCTCCGTCTTCGCTTTCAAACTTATCTTCGTTTTCGTGCACCTGCCGGCCGCGTTCTCCATGCGTTCCATATACTTATTCTTCAGGACCTCCTCAGTAGTGTTGTGCACCGCGCTACAAATTTCGTCAAAGGGACGGTTCCACAATCCCAGTTCGGAGATCATCTTATTTCCGAGAAGATTCTTACGGGTCTTCGACACATAGACATCTGCGAGGCAAGTCATGTTTCGAAAATTGACAGTCGCCTGGAAAACGCCTTCAAATTCCATACGCGTCTCGTTCGACGCCCACGCTATGATCTCTGATGGTGTCAGTTCTGGAGAACCGATGTCCTCCCATGTGCGCATGCTGATTATGGTCAGATCAGAAGCCGTGTCTACTTGTAATGTGATCGGCTTTTCGTTAATCTTCACTGTCAGGTATTTCCGGTGTTCACAGTTGAGTACATGCGAATCGTCTTCTAAAACGACATGACAATTCTTTCTTGGGCTAGTGTGCGCTGCTCTGCAATGTGAAGCTTTATGGCCAACACGGGAACATTTGTAGCACTTCCTACTACGATAGGGACATTCACTCACGTAATGCCAGCCGCCGCACAGCCAACAAGCCGTCTTTGGCTTCCGTGGAGAAACTCTATTCGGTTGTGATTGTCTCGATTTTGTGCCAAAAACGTAAACTGGCTGACTATTTGTGCTTCCAATAAGCCGGGTGTCTTGCTTGATATTTGTGATTCGGACACATTCCTCTGCCAGTTCCTGTACTGTCATATCGCCTTTCTGGTCTAGCTGGGCGAGTAACCGCGTGCGCACATCTGCATCTTCTGGCAACGTCAACGACTTAATGAACAATAGTGCTTTAATCTGTGTGCTGGTGGCCTGTTCTAGCTCGGCTTGTTGAAAAGTATCATTAACTCGACCGGCCAAGTCAAAATAGTCTTCTTCAGTCTTACGTTCTAGCTTGAAACATTCATAACGTCGATTGAATAAAGACTTTGTAAAACAGAACAATGCTTTCAAATGCTTGACTGTGTCCTTAAACGAGACATCTGATGGTTTCTGAGGCAGAATGAACTTTACGTACCGCTCGTGTTCCCGCTGGGCCAGTTTTAGCAGAATGATTTCCACTTTCGTCTTGTCGTCCAGTTCTGCTCCCTTCTCTTCGAACAGTCCTTCGTACTTTCGAAACCAGGCTTCGAAATTTACACCTCCCTCTGGATCGTAAACGAACTCGTTGATCCGTTGTTCGATCTGTTATCTCTTGTTCTCTCTGGATGCCGGTCCCCAATTTCGCTGCATTTCTGTGAGTAATGCCATGAAGCCGGCCTGCTGGGCCTCCAGTATGTGTTGCATTTGTTCTTCTGATATCATTTTGCTGCACCTGCGTCGCCAGTTGTTATGACCCGGTAGGAAGGTAGGACAGGAAGAGAGCCGGTTCGGAGGACAAGCACTTTATTGGAACTTGCGGACAGGAGGGAGTTACAACTCGTAAGAAAGGTGTGCTATTTATTGGCTCCCGTGCGTTCTGGAACATTCCGTCCAATGACGTGCCAGTCATAGAGGGCGTTCTAGAATGTTCCTGTCCCGAGCGTGCTGGTTGCTGATTGGCCACCGCGTGCGCGATGACCCCGCCGCGGAAACGTCTGGAATGTTCGGCCATCCATTGATTGGGCCGCACACGTGAGCAAAGCCACCATGCGTGCTCGGCGCTGCAGTGGGAGCCGGTCGGTTGTCTAACTTCGCGCGTGACTCACGTCGCCGACTTGGTCCTTTGTTTGGCGCCTTAGGCCGTGGCTCTACGCCGCTTTCACTCTCCATAACACGTTCTAACCCTCTACAGGCGCAGAGGCAACTGAAAAGTCTGCGACAATCACAATGGCACCCCGCTACTCATCATCGCTGCAAAGATCTGCGTTCGTATCCTCCTGGAGCGACCACAGCGTGCATTTCCTTGACCATTTGTACGTATGCTAATTATTTGAAGAGTTATGTAATTCGGAAGTATTTTTTTCTCCGAGCTTGTTTACCGTCCTTTTAGATAACGTTCAGTGAAAAGAGAGAGAGAGAGAGAGAGAGAGTAATGCTTTATTTTGAAAATAACCTTCAAAACTTTCAGCAAAAACGGTTCTCCAGTACACAGTGATTACCATAGAGATTAACAGGTATTGGACAGGTGGACATAATTATAAATGAAGAAAAAAGGACTTTAAGGTGCAAGATCGAGTTTTTGTTTTTGTTTTTCAACATCTTTGCAGGTGAGATACCGGGCTAGAAATGGCTGTATGGAATTCCGATAGGCCGAAGTGCGGCAAGGGATGTGGCGGAAGCGTCGACGCATGGGGCGTATGGATTTTGCAGCCATTAACTCATTATGAAGGGGATGGACGAAGTCATTCAGAATTCGGTCAGCGAATTGCTCCACCGAGTTGAAGTGTCGCTGCATGACGATACCAACTAAAATATGATAGGAGACACCAGCAGCAGAGGCGAGCATTCGAATGACACGTTTAAAAATAATTAGATCTTTTTTAAGTAAAGCTGGAAAAATAACTGGAGAACAATAAAGAATGAGTGGAAGAATACAGCCATCTATGAATCGCCAGATTAAGGACCTGGGTGTGTGATATGAACGTAGACGACGAATGTAATAAACAAGTTTTTGAATAACTCCATACTTTCGTCATTTAATCAGGGGGGATACAAAGCCCGTAGAAGTACTGAGAAGATCATGTAATGTATAATTTGGACGCCCAATATTAGAAATCACGTCAAAAACCTGTTCAGCACCATAATGAATTGACGACCAATTCAGAGTGTCATGAAACGTAGAATTTAATATCTGAGCATATAATCTAAGTAAATCGGTGGCGATTATTCAAGAGGCAGCGCAGTTTACTGCAATTGCGGTATTTGTTGCGGTAGAGTTAAGTGCAGTCCACCGTGTATGTTCGCAACTCAAGGTAGTCCGCCAAAATTATCGACTTCTGTTATATTTGTCTTATTAGTTGCTGTCATTTGCATTAGTTTTGCGAAGGGAATGTTGTTGGAAACGTTTGAGTTATAGATAACTGCACGGGAATCTCTTACATGCATTTCAAATTGCTAAGGGAACGGACTGCAATTGACGACTGCCTTGAATTTGCTACCATGACCAAACACTGAGGTCACCCATTAAAATTGCGCATTCAGCACGCAAGATTAAATGTATGGAAGGTCTTCTATGTCCGAAAGGTCAAACCAAACAATGCCCTCCCAACAGACGTCCTGATTTCACTATGGATAGCAAGCATTAAAAGTAACCTTTACTTATTTACAAACGAACAGATGGTTTATTTAGCACCCCAAATGTATTTTGCGGCAAATGACGATGTATATTGACTTAATGTTAGAAGTAAATAATATGAAATTAATGGAAAACGATGAAAAACATGAATTTTCCTGAAGAAGACAACGCGAATGCGATGTAGTTTATGTTTCGAAATGATCAAGAGCGATGAGAGATCGAGGTCAGCCCCTTAGACGCACGTCCAATATGTCATAATATTGCAGGTCTGTTAGAACTAATCTAACCCACATGGTTTCTCTGTAAACAACATGCATGTTACGTCAAAAATAAGGCTCTCAAAAATTCACACTCATTTCCCGCAATAAATTCAGCTGAGCTGGTCTGAACATCCTTCACTATGATAGGCAAGTCTTCAATGGCGTTCTCCAGCATTTTTCTTTTTTTTCTTTCCCTCCCTCATTTTGGCCAGCGTCCTTTTCTTTCAAATTTTAGCCATTCTATAGCCCTTTCCAATTCCCCAGAAATCTGTCCATCACCTTGATTGCCCGCAAAAATCTTCCTTACGCACTCCTACATTGTGACGGAACAGCTCGAATTCGAGGTTAGTTTAAAGCTTACGCATATTTTGGAGAGAAAAACTTAGGTGTAATCAGTCTTTCAACACCTAATCAAGTGGGTGTTTTAATTTTTGACAGACCTATTGTCAGTACTTTTAATAAGCACATATAACAACCTTCTGAGTGGTTTAAACGTTAGCCTCCCTGGTCGCAGTCACGGAGATGACGGACAATGTGTTTATTTTCGTCCCCAACTTAATCGGTAATCAGGTCAAAGATCAAAGTCGCTGTTAAAGTTTTCATATACTATTTTTTCCCCTACATTAACACGTCTTTTTAAAAAAAGGGTTATTTTAATGCTTGTTATGAAACAGTTCCTTCAGCGCTGAAGGAATACTTTCATAACAAGCATTAAAATGACACTTTTCTAAAAACGACGTGCGAATTTATGCACATACACTGAATAAATACTGGAGTAGGGAACCTGCATAAAAATCTCATCATGTCACAAGGTATAGTGGGCAACCTCATTATTATTTAGTTTCAGTTTTCTCTGTGCGCCTTTTATGTGTATATACAACGTGTTCTTTTATTATCAACTGTGGAAAAGGAAGTGCCACCGGACCCGTTTGGCTGACGTTTAGAAGAGCTTGGACGGCTCTCCATTATCAAAGCGTCTAGTGCAAAAATCGATCAGAATTTTGAATAGATAGCCGGATTAGTTGGCCTTGGGCTGATCATTTTTTTTTCTTTCGCTGTCTTGGCCTACTGGCCGTCACATGTGAGTGTTAGTGGCCTCCTCTATTGTATATCGTCACCTCAATGGGGGTTAGTTGCGTTTGCGTCCCCCTTTTGGGTGAATTGGTCGACAGGCTGTGTTTGCTCGGTATTCTTAGGCTCCGTATGACTGTCTTGTCTTCGTCACGGCGTATCTAATGACGTAGGACTTTATAGTTGTATGTTGAGCATCGCTGCCTTCAGCCTAGTAACATTGTGCTCATATGTTTCCTGCCCCCACCGATTATTTTTTGTTAGTCTGTGGTTAGTTTTGTGGTTGACCGGCTCGTGCAAGCTGCCCCAGCCCATTCTCACGAGCGACGCCGGTGTCTTTTCGAGCGCGGCCGAATGTATTGGTACGTTTCCCAAGTGTTCTGTGATTTGTTAAGTTTACCTGCCGAACGGAGTAGGCTTGAATTTTGGCCTTCAGGAGATTTTATACAGTTTTTTGCGTCGCCGTCAAGTTGCACTGTATGAAGCGATTTTCACACATGCATGCGGTGTCGTTTCAGGGTTACTTAGTCCTTCCCGTTGCTACTCTTTTTTCGATCTCTCGATTGTCGTATCCTCCCGATGACTGTATTTCGTCAGGAGCGCTAACAGCTCGTAAGATAGCGTTTTAATAACGTAAAATCGAGAGTAACGGTGAGGGTAAAGGGTACATGCAATTCGATGTACTCTTTGATTGCATACGAACTACGACAGCCGTAAACCATTGCCGTTGCCTTAGGAAATGACACAGTTTAAAATTCCTTGCCACGACTCTTGCTTCACATTCCCCTTTTAGGTGCGTGAATGGTATCTTTATTTCTACCTTCGAAGCTTTCAACGCACATTTTATGGTGGTCTGATCTACATGTGCGCCGGGTTCATTAATAGTTTTGGTCATACTGTCTTGTTTTATCTCCGTAGGATATGCGCGGATTCTCCTCCTACTTTATGCGTGCTGGTACATGACGACCAATTTCTCTCGCACGGTTATCTCTTATTTACTTTCATCACTGTTGGACGCCTTTGATGGTTATGCCGCCCGTCTCCTAAACCAAAGTTAGCTGCCCTTCATTTACTACAATATTTTGCATGCAGTGAGGCCATCCTTAAACTACTTGTTTTTACCCCGTATAGGCACGAGATTTGGCGCCATGTTGGACATGCTGAGTGATCGGTGCGCTACGATGTGTCTCCTCTTTGCTCTGGGCACGTTCTACCCACGCTACATTTTTCTCTTCCAACTGAGCGCCTTGGTGGACATTGCCAGCCACTGGCTTCATATGCACGTGTAAGGTGTCCCCTCTGCCAACCTACATCTTTTTTCCACTAGATCCATCCAGAGTGGATCCTCTAGTCACAAAACTATCAGTCTGCAAGGGAATCGGTTTCTGCGAATTTACTATACCAGTCGGGTAAGGTTACCTCGACTGTTGTGATATCTCCAAACATTTAGCCGATACTCTTCTTTATGTGTGCGGGGAACGAACTCTTCTATTCAATGCTTTACGCCCTCCATTTTACCGACGGGCCTCAGAGTAAGTCACATTTTACGACGTTCTAGTATGGTTTGAGGGATTGGTTTCCCAATAAGTTTAATTATAAAGAAATGAAGTTCCTTGGGGATAATACGGCTCTTATAATTGTAGAAGAGCGCTCACCGATCGTGTTACGGAACTCACTCGTCTCGTTGTGCCGTGGGGGTCCCTCTGGAGCCCAACCAGCAGCCGCACAGCGGCGCGTAATGTAGGCAGAATATTGGGACGAGTAAGTTCCGTAACACAATCGATGAGCACCCCTCTACCATTGTATATTCCTTATCGCAACCCACAGGAGAACGAGCACGTGGCTCAGAAGTTAGATGCGTTGGACTTCTAACCAACAGGTCGCAGGATTGAGCCCCAGGTCTTCCACATTTCGAGGTTGGGTATAACTGGCTGACGACGGCTAGTAAGCCAGAAATGACCGTTCCAGTCTCCCTTGTCTTTGTCGGTAATGTTATACGGTTCTTATTTTGTACATTTTGAAGACTGACTGCTCATCGTCTAGCGTATGCACAGCATGCAAAAGCAATTGGCTTTTAACTATGCCCAACGAAAGCTTTTGTGGCTGGTTAGAGTTTGTGTTAACAGGCGTCCACTACATTCGGTTATCGTGTCGGTATGGACTGTGTCCGTCTTGACATGTGGTTGAGTACTTTGTGTGCGGCCTCATTTAAGTGCATTGCTCTAGGAACTCCCGGTTCCTTTTTTGTTGGACAGGCGCTGACACTGCTTTTTTCCAATGTCAATGTGTGGTCTGTGTCCAGTATATGCATAATTACCCTAGATAGATGGTCTTTTCTCCTTACCGATGGCTGCTGTTCATATGTAAGTGTAAAGGCGGATTCGCCGGTTTGACCGCATCAGACTGCGTAGAATTTTGTAGACAGCCTTTTTCCTATCGAAATATCAAACTCCGTCTTTGGGGTGTACAAGCGAGGTGCGCAAAGTAATTGTAGATTTACAAACTATCTGTGTCTGATATCTTTTAATCTGTCTTTCGTCAGGCTCAACCACAGTTTTCACGTTAATTGGAGCCTGTAGGTGGTTGGTTTTGACGTCTAGGTGGCCGTGGCGTTTGAAATGCCTTTCTCCTCAAACTTTTGTTGCATCATGCGCCAACACACAAGGCCGAGAGCGTAACCGTTTTGCGACAATAATCTGATAAAGCGTTTTTTCTCTGTTCGATAAATTTCTTTCCTGGGACAGTGGGTTTCAGCGTAGTTTGATAGAATGTTAACTGAGCTACGTTTGTGAGAGATGGGATGACCTCTGTGCATATGCATTTGCGGTCGATCGACTTGCCACCGCTGACTTGCGGTTAGGCTTTTCAGCCAAAGCGCTAGAGGAGACAACCTTGAACAAACAATCCGAGCGGCTGTTGGGGACCCGCCCGTATTCGAAATTCCCAAGAAACCTCATGAAACATGTCCGATCACAGTACTACGACCCATGCTACGGCGTCCGCGGGAACCGACGCGCTCCGCAACCCTGGTCCAGTCGTGCGGGCGAATAGTATGCGAGCTGGACTACTCAATCGTGGACGGACTCTCGGTATTGGGTGCTGGAATGTGCGAACGTTCCTGGACCCTGGTACCCAAAGTCTGACCGCGCGCAGCCTTGATCAGTGCAATGTGGATGTCTGCTGTCTGTCTGAGGTTCGACTCCCTGACACAGGCTCCCGTGAAATAAAGATCCATGGAGTCGAATCACACTATATCCCGTACCACAGCCGCCCGCGCGATTCTTCTGGTCGACACGGTTTGGCGATCGCCCTATCGCAACAAGCGGACCTCGCGCTACTTGCTTGGGAACCACTCAATGACCGGATGACCTACGTGCGACTGAAGGGTCACTTCACGAACATCTCCATCGTCGATGTGTACGCACCAACTTTGCCTGCCGAACAGCGCGATAAAGAGGCGTTTTACTCTCAGTTGCAAGCGCTAGTTGAAAGACTGCCTCGCCGCGATCTGCTGATTGTTGCTGGCGATTGGAATGGTCGAACTGGACCTGGCGACCCCAAAACCAGTCATCTTCTTGGCCGCTTTGGACTTGGCTCCCGATGCAAAAGTGGTGAGAGATTGCTGAACTTCGCTGATCTAAACCGACTGCTTGTCACCAACACATGTTTCAAGCATCGCAAAAAACATCTGCTGACCTGGTATTCAAACGACGGTCATACGGCCAGTCAGATTGACTACATACTAGTCAGCTCAAGGTTCCGCAGCTGGGTTCACGATAGCAGATCGATGCGTGGTGCCGAGACTGGTAACGCCCATGGGTCGGACCATGTCCTCGTCCGTACACGCTTGAAAGTTCATCTCTCATCCGCGCCAAAAATGCCACGTCCTAGACGCCTCAATGTCGCAAAAATCCGGCAAGCCAGCACTGCCGAGGCCCTAAGCAGAGAAATCCGGACCTGTTTTAGGACCCGAGCCGACGGAGAAGTCAGTAACCAGTGGTCGTCACTGAAGACTTCAGTCTATGGGGCAACTGAAAAAATCCTTGGATACATCCAGCGACGCCGCAGTGACTGGATCAGCGGAAGAGCCCTGCAGTTGTCTGCTCAGACGGCTAGAGCCAGGTCCCGCAACGATGACTACTTCCGCAACTTCGGAAGATGACGGCAAAATCGGCCAGGGATGACCGGAAGCAATATTGGGCTGAAATAGCGACCTCCATGGAACAGGCCTCGAATGTTGGTGACACTCGAAAGCTCTACCGTCTGATCCGCCAAGTTAGCAGTAAGCCCTCTACACAGAGTAACTCTGTTCGCGATGTGAACGGCGGCTTTATCGCTGATAACTCGGCCAAAGTCGAGCGCTGGCGTGAGCACTTTGAGCACCATCTCAACTTCGATACCCAACTTACCTCGCCATTGCTCTCCTCCTCAGCGGAGTTTCTTCCCTCTCCTACCTATGCAGTGCCATGTGACCCCCCCTCAGAGGGAGAAGTCGCCGATGCCAAACGAAAGTTGCGCACCAATAAGGCACCCGGAGAGGACGGTATACCCGCTGAAGTCTTCAAGTCTTGTGTCGACACTCTGGCGCCCTGGCTCCATGAGCTGATTGAACGAGCGTGGAGAAACGAGGTTGTTCCTGATGAATGCGGTTTAGGCATCCTTGTGCCTATCCTCAAGATGGGAGATAGGACGAGATGCGAGAACCACCGCGGCATAAGTCTCATCGACGTTGCTGCGAAGATCTTCGCTATTGTCCTACTCAGGCGATCCCAGACTGTGCGTGACTCAAGGACGAGGCCCAACCAAGCCGGGTTTCGTGCTGGACGTGGATGCGCAGGCCAGATATTCACACTGAGGCGCATTCTCGAATTTCACCTTAGCTATCAACAACCGACGGCCGTCTGCTTCGTTGACTTTGCCGCCGCGTTCGATTCCGTTCACCGTGATTCCCTGAGGCGGATAATGGCGCTAGATGGTGTACCGGCAAAAAATCATCGCCATGATCAAGGCCTACTATCGCTCCACCACTGCGAAAGTCTTGGTCCGCAACAATCTTTCCCAACCGTTCGGTACTCGGTCTGGCTTCCGACAGGGTTGTATCCTGTCACCAATACTGTTCAACTACGCTATTGGCTAGATTCTCGGGAGGGCCCTACGCGAGAGTGACGGTGTTGACTTTGCATCCGGACATCGACTGACTGATCTCGACTATGCCGATGATAGCGCCTTACTTGCTTCAAGTTTTGGTGATTTGCAGTCTATGGTGTCACGGGTGAACGTGGTCGCTAAATCGGTCGGTTTGTCCGTAAACGCAGGGAAGACTAAAGTGTTCTCAAGTTGCATCCCTGACCAGGAGAAGACACCCCTCGGGATTGATGGCTGTCAACTTGAAGAAGTAGACAGTTTTAACTACCTCGAGGCGAGGCTGCTGCCTAATGGACAGAGTAAGGACGACATTGTCTCCCGAATCGATGCTGCCCGCTGAGTTTTTTCAAGCCTTCGGAAACGCCTATGGATCCGACGTGACCTCTCCATCGCCATCAAGATTTGCGAGTACCGTGCGTCTGTCCGGTTTTTCCTTCTCTACGGTTGTGAATGCTGGGCTTTGCGCGTGGAGGACGAGCGAAAACTGGAGGTATTTGACCACCACTGCTTGAGGACCATCCTTCGAGTGAAGTTCACCGACTTCGTCTCAAATGAGATAGTCCGCGCTCGCTGCGACAACATCGCAAGGATAACTCAGGCCATCCAAGAAAGACGACTGAGGTGGTTGGGCATGTTCTTCGTCGTCCACCTCAGGAGCTCAGTGTTACTGCCCTCGATCCTGCACCGTTGCTCCATTGGAGGCGTCGAAGAGGGGGTCAGTTCAAAGCCTGGCTCGACACAGTTCGTTAAGACATGGAGGTGGTTCTTGAACCTTCGGTATTCGGTCTCCGTCGTTGGAGAAGGGAATGGGTTGAACTGTCTAGATCTGCTGCCGCGGATCGTCACGCGTGAAGAGGTACAGTTCGGGACATCATAGAGGCCGGCTAGATCAGGCATGATCGCAGCCGTATCAAGTACAAGTAAGTACAAGTCTTCCGATGTACGGGGACATCCAGGAATGGGAGTTTTTCATCAGCCTCTGCTTTGAAAGCTAATTTAATTCCTGCGAAATCGGAGTGCACGTTATTGTAATTCATTTTTAATCAATATTCTTGACAACGACAAACATCCCATCCACTTAGCATAGTCTCAATTCCGGGTTAACAGTGTGGAGGGATGTAGCCTTCGATTCCTCTTTTATGGCCGCTGCCATGAAACCCATTTTGGGGAACCTATAGGAACGTCTTTTTGTGCTGATGGTATTGCCTGGCAAGGGAAATTTTGTTTCTAGACAGAGATTTAGGAGTTGAGTCAAGGCGTCCGCAGGCACATCCATAGTGTAGATTCGAAGGCGTTAATCGGTACAGCTTCTCGCTAAGTCTAGATACACCGAGACGATGTTATTATTTTATCAGTTGTTACTTCGAGTCCTTTTACTTTAGATTCTCGAAGCGCGTCTTTGGAGTTCTTTGTTCTTGGGTAGAATTGGTTAAATAGCCACTTTGAAGTCTTTAGTGGTTTGGTGCACCGGTTAAAGAGGCCATTGGTTGTGTTGCGATGCCGGTTTTGGCGATGCCGTTGGCTGCGCTAAAGCCTTCCCCTTACTGCGTGGGTTCGAATCCCACCGAGGCGCCGAGTTTTTCACAGTTGGGTCAATATGAATTATTCAAAATCTGCCAAAATATCAATGATCTATAAGATCCTTATATTTTGGTAGTCATTTATTCATACTGTTTCAAAATTGTGCATAGAACTCTTGAGATCAATTTGGTTCCTACGAGGCGTTTTGATGCTTTTTCAGTATATGTGAACCCCGTGATTTCTTTTGCCCTAAATGTACATTTGCAGCGAGAACATGTGTGTGATTGTTGACGCCTTTGGTCCTCATTGCTCTAGTTTTATGTTTTTGAGCCCTGCCTCAGACATCTTCTAATCGATTGACTTCGGAGGTTGCTGCACCGTTCTTTATTGCAGTTCGTCATGTGCCTGGTGACCCCGTATGGCAGTCTTCATGGTTACGTGACTGATTCTAACGTATTTGCCCGGGGCTTTTAAGATTTCGTCTTAATGTTTTATTTCCTATCTATCTTGGCGACCAGCGCCGGTAGCGAATTCGCTGCATAATGGTCACTTTGTCGGTCACCACTCAACCATTGTCATGACATGGCCGTTCTAATGAACTGAAATCTTCTCCACGTAGAGTGAGCATGTCCCTCAATCCCTAGACTTAATTGTCCGAAATCCGGTTTTTGCCATTTCACGTTTACTGTCCCCCGAAGGCTTCTTAGATAAACATTACTGAGATTCCGCGTTTGTATTTGGTAGATTTTCCAAGCTTCTAACGCCATAGAGACCTTTTATCGAGACTACAACCTCAAAACTTTCCGTGCTGGCGTGCAATTGAATACCTCGGCGATTTAGTATAAAGGATTGACGTCACATGAAGGTCTGACTGACTTTGGATGTTCAGGCTGCAGTCCCGTCATCACTTGCTTCTCCTTGAGATATCGTCCCCAAAACAAAATAATTGGTTTATAACTGTGAGGGACGATTCCTTGATAGTGTTTGAAGGCACCGTATATCCCTCGTTGGGTTCCACGTTGATGTTCAATCTGAATGTGTCTCGTCCGGAGGTGGGAAGGTCGGGGTTTCGTCTTCAACGAAGAGACGACGGTTTATCCTAACCTTGCAGATCTTTGCGATGGTATTCATGTGAATGACGAATAGCCTCCAGTGATAAGACTCCATCAAAATTGTTGAAAACAGAGCTGGGTGGGGTTAGGGCAAGTACACAACCCTACCTTCGCATGCTGTGCAAGAGGGTTTCAAGGTTCACCCATTGTTTGTTACACAGGTTATCATCCTGTTGTGAAGTTGCTAATAACTACTGTGAATCTCCCGGGTCATCCAGATTTCATCATTATTTTCCAGAGCCCGTTCTGGTCCACGACGTAGAAGGCTTTTGTGTGAAGGCGAAATGTCGAGTTCCAGGTGTAGGCATAAGTGAAGAAGAAGAGTGGTCGATCACAGAAACATTTTGTTTATTGTCCTCAGCTTTCCAACTCTTCATCGTCAGCGATAGTAGCGGCAATAGAACAAACGACATTTATAGGGCATGTAGGCCAATCATCGACCGACGGCGCAAGGCTGGAGGTGACTGCGCAGGGCTCTGTACGCCTGCGCCGGACTAACAAATCGATTGACTGAGTTCTCATCCGATGTCCGGGCTTCAATCGACTCTCGGCCTGTTTTTTTTCCGGCGTGGGCGACTATTTTGGCGGCTGTGAAGTTAAACTCATGACCCGTTTCGTAAGTGTGGGCGGCCACTTGTGATAATGCGTCGCCTCGTCGCGCAGCCAGCTTATGTTCGTGTATGCGCGATCCGAGCATGCGTCCAGTCTGGCCTGTGTAGTTATAAGGACAGTTTTGGCACGGGATGCGATACACTATTCCAGATTGCTCTTCAGGCTTTAACCGGTTTCGACTTTTCATGAGTCTACTGCGCATGGTGGCTTTGGGTCGGTTGCCCCGCAGCAATGCGTTCAGTCTCTTCTGAAACGTCCTTGATGTATGGCAGAGAATGCCATATCGTTGGTGGTGTTGATGCTTGGGTCCTGTGGGAGCGACCGCGTAGGCAGCGACTCATAAATGCTTTCGGATAGCCATTTGTATTTCGATTGTTTCACACATATTTTTTCGAAATTCACACGATGACCCTGGAAGCACGTCTTGCCCCGGGTGTCTTGCCAGGCAATCAAGAAGACTATGCGCAAAACAGATTTTGCCGGCAGTGCGGAGAATAGAGAGCCTATGCTGTCTCGTAGACTTGTCCGTCGCCCTTTCGTTTGTGGGAATGAACGGTGGCCGAATCGTTGAAATCTCGCACGAATTGTCGGCGCGTCACTTCTGCCGACCAATTTGACAAGAATTTGCTAGACACCGTTTCTGTTGACCGGATTTGGTCAACTCTACCCGATATTTTACAGCTCGGCATCCGCAACACTGCTCAGACGTCTCTCAACTTCTTGCGTTAAGGACATAGTTTCCTTGCCTTCTGTCTTAGATGAACCTTGTGTTCTCTAACATTTTTCATCTGACATCAGAGCATAATTTGGTGCTTGCCGGTGCGAGCTTTTTGTCTGCGTGCTTTTACATTTATTCTGTGGTTGCCAGACTTATCCGCATTCAAAAAAAATTGTTGAGAATCGCTGACTGGATAGGGCTAGGCTCATTCTTTGTAGGGAATAAACTATCAGACCTTGGAAGGGGTTCCATCGGCAGTTTTAGCCCGTCGTGCATGTTTTTTACGTCCGGTGGTTGACTTTAGCCACAAACGCGCACTTGCAACAGCAAATGCTTCCACAGTTCCTTTTTGGTCACGTAAAAAACCGGACAGGCGTTGGTGACTCGTGTGCAACCGGAGAATATTCTTACTGAGCTGCATTTTAATGTCCTTGCGGTCCAAATACATCGGGAAAGTCCATCGCAACATCTAAATCGCATTTGGCTGTCTTACCCTGTAATGTCGTCTATTCTGTGGAGTTTGCTTGCCTCATCAATGCCATGCTAATTCGATACACAGTCTTCTTAAAAATGCTATCTTTTTCCGCAAAAACTGCCTTAGCATCTCCTCCTAGTTGGTGGTGTTTTACATCTGCGTGTGTATTGAGCGTGCCTTAACTCCCTTGGTTGCCCGGCCTGAAACCTCATATTATCTCCTCTTCTTCTTTCTCCCCATGCTCCTCCCCCAGTGTTTGGATACAGTCTCTTCAAGGTCATCCTCTTTTTGTCGCTGCCTGTCGCTCTCCTCAAGACTTTCATCAGTCTGATCCACCTGTATGCCGCCTCGGCAAACTTAGCTGGAATTGACGTCGCAGAACGGAAGAAGGCTGCTGCGGCCGCGTCCTAGACTATAATTCACAATCCTCCGTCAGCTGATGATTCGCTTTGTGCGGCGATTACACGTGTTCCTGTGTATATATACTTGCTTCCTGGACCCTTTTTCATACTGTTTCGTCTCGAACTCCATCAAGTGTCTAAATATTCCCTTCCAGAAGCTTGGGGACTTACATAGTCCGCCAAAGTGCAGATCGGTACCTCACTTCTGCCTGTCGCCTTATGTCAACTCGTAAACACTATTTCAGCTGCCGCTGTGCTTTGCTTCATTTTGGACCAGACATTCCGATTAATATGTGTTTCAATTTCTGCGATGACTTGATTTTTGAGTAGTTCAAGTCTTGTTATTGCCCGTAAGATGGGCGCTCTAGGCAATACATACAAATTTGAATTATAGAGGACCCTTTCAGTTAGATGATACTCACAGCTGCATTGCCTTACAAACTCCCTTATCCTATGTCCTCGGTAAATGTTATACAAGGCAACTCTTAGTACCCTAGGCACGTCTATTGCATACGTCATCCATTCGACATTTCCTCACCCCTCAGTAACAACCCGAGCGTGGATGAGTGCTCACAAAAAGTGTGTAAGAGAATTGCAGAACAACTAGCAGGATGCTTGCTTCTGCCAAAACCGTTTGCTTTATTGTGTGCGGCTCAGCCGCCTCTAACCACCGTTGACTGAGCCTGCGAGCAGAGCTAAACCGAGTGAAATTCTGTCGATTCGAGTGATCATGGGCTTTTGGCCTAGTGTTTGGACTGTGGAGAGCGTTATGCAAATATGCTGAACTTGAGAGTGCACGCCCTTATGTACCATCTGGCAGAGCATTCTATTAGAGAGAACGCCGCACACGTTTCACCAGAGCCAAATCCAACTCCAAGTCCTACATTTGCATTCTCCCACTCTTTATGCTAACATCACTAATAAGTTTATCGGTTGGGCGTGTGACTCAGAATACCTGATGAAAAATAAGCAGCCGGGATGATATTCTACTTGGTGAATGACTGCTGCTCTCTTCGAGTACGGAGACCAATATTCTGTAGCGTAAGTTGATTCGTGAGTGTGGAAGCCGAGTTATGGGTTCCTAAACAGGGGGTGGATGGACGAAAGAGAGGTTAGGACAATCATCATGATCTCTGCGCCATACTTGCATAAACCGTATCTTAGCATATTGGGTGCCTGCACGGTGGCCTGCGTCAGACGGAGGACCGCTGCGTCTTCGGTCGTCAGTGCCGCAGTGCCTTTGGATGGCTCTCCGATAATGCTGACGTCATTCAAAATGCTTTGTCAACCTACACACAATGACCGGTGTCCACCGGGTGTGCCCCCGGGTCGGTTGATTGACCGGCTCGAACATTGGACGTGTGTCTGATAGGGATTGGAGAGAGGTCGAATCGAAGCTGATGTTCCTAACCATAAGGAATATCACGCGCCCGAATCTATAACGGAGCGCTTAAGGTTGTGCCTTTGCAGGTTTTCTATGACGGGGTAGCTCGGTCCTCAGAACGAATAACCAGTCTGCGACGGCCCCTTTTTAATGTGGTTTCCATGACGCTCCCACTTAGTTGGGATCCGAACCCGCGCTCTTTCCCCTGTTTGTGGGATCCATCGTGCGCGGACCAGGAAGTGTAGCGGCACGCCTAGTCGTGGGTTCGCGTCGCGCCCGATCCCGCCTTCGGCCTTGACGCCGTCTCGACAGCAGACCCAGGTGGGGGAGGGGGTAGTGAGAGTTCAGTGGATGCAGCGCATATCACCGCCCCGGCATCCTCCCTGCTGTCAAAACAGACTGTAGGCATCGTCCGCCAGGGTCGTCGAACCATGCAGCGAAGAAACTGCTACTCATCAGAGCAACGACCAAATTTTAGATATTCATTTGGCCTGGCGCACACCCGACCTTGTACCCCTTAGCGGATATATCAGCATTCCAGCATGCTTATGCGTCTTTCATCCCAAACAGACTTGTTGCGGCACAGCAGTTAGAGTGTGTGCGTCTGAACTCAGAGCGCTACTATTGTCAGGCCAAATCCCACATTGGAAGGAGAAGACGGAAGGCACCAGAATGAGGGGTTTATTGTGCACAGAACCCGGAGTTGTCCCGTCAAGCGGCAGTGGCCACTGGCGAAGCCAGGGCTGGTTTTGACTGCGTCCAGTCATGCCCGTGAGTCCCTGAGATAGTGGTGGCGGCCGCTTTTGTAAGCTCGTGGGCCAAGCTCAAGCGGTGGCCAATCAGTGTGCGTTGCATTTGCCGAGGGTTTGTGTCGCAGTGGCTTAGGTTGTGGTTGCAGGGGTGGGGGGAGGTGCGTTCAAGTGGCCGCATAGGCAGATGCGGCTGTGCGGACACAGGTTTACTTGAGTTGTCGATCGTGTGACTTGAGGTCAGCGCGTCTGGAACAACTCACTGCAAAAGGGTGAATGACCTTGAGGCAGCGAGGTCTTGAACAATGGCGCCAGACCGGTCATTATAGCCTCACGCTACAAACTTTTAGGTGGCAGTTATAACCCTCAGGTACGTTATAATTCTGATGCGACTCAGCCAGTGGTCCTGTGTTAGTGCACCTGCAAGCATGCCGGTCTCACAGCGAAGGCCACAGGTGTTTTTGTCCCACGCACACCGCGTCTGTACGACCGCCGCACCGCGAGTCGTACGATTTTCAGCACTAGTGATTACGCAAAGCTCTCGCGGACTGGTCATTTAGGCTTCGACAGTGAATGTGCGCTCCCACCCCCCTCTCCTCTCCGCGCTAGCAGAGGACCGCCTGCGTGTACGGCGAGCAGTTCCGGTATACGAAAACTACAGTTCTGTCTTTCGAACCTGCCGTCCCTTTTTCGGGATTCCAACTCATCGTTGGCCTTGCACTCACTAATTACCAACGGAGTTGACGGGGCGTCTGTGACAGTCTTCTCCCACTCCTTACTCAAGAAGGTAATTATTGGAACACATCGGCGTTATCCTAGAATGTTTATTTTAATCTCAATAATGGACTGCTTTAACACTTCAAAATAAGATGAAATGTTGCCGATACCGATGAAGGGGCGAGTTCCAGAAAACAGTTCGGAAGAAGGAGGCTCAATTTCTGAAACAGAAACTTTATTCCCATGACGTCTCGAACTCGTCTTCAGGGACGGTCACATAAAAGGGTGGCTGGCGCGCAGGGGATGCGGTATTTATGTGTTTCATCTGCTAGGCGACCACGAACTTGACGACGTTATCCTCCTCCGCACTCGATGTTGATATTCGCACGCGGGGCTGCCTGCTAAGCAGTCTCCGCCGAATATTTTTAACATCGGCTGTGAATGCGCAGGCAAGAGCACAGCGTCTGCATCCCGCAACTCTCGGCTCGTTAAGCAGTCACCGAACCACGTGCAACTAACTGCGGCGAATTCGGGAGCTGCCAATGTTAATAGGCGGGCAGTGGCATAGCAGCTACATACCTAAAAAGACCGCGACACCTGTGCAGCTCATTTCACCTGTCTGATTATGTCCTTGATGGTGAATTTGCGTTTAAATCCGAAACGTCCGGCCAGTAAAGCTCTTGTTCCAGCAACCGTGTCTTCTTCACAAATGCGGAGACTGCTACTCTCGTCAGCTGTGCGGCCGCTTAGCAACCACATTCCATATTTGTGGTACACGATCTCTATGCGACCGTCTGCGAGAGTTCTACTTTGAGCGCCAAGACAACAGGACGGCTAATAAGCCAGAAATGGCCATTCCGGTCTCCCTTTTCCTTGTCAATACCAACTTATCTTTCTATCGGTCTCTTTGACCTTACTGTGAGCTGTGTCGAAAGCACTTTCTGTTATTCTGTAATGTCACAGAACGCGGTGATTCTGAATCGCATCCAGAAAAGTGTAGTGCTGATCAACACTCTTGTCGGCCTGCAAAATAATGACAGCATTGTCGAAAATATTGCCGACAACATTTGCCTGGTAGGAGTTATAAGCAGGTTGAGGACGTTCCTGATCATTTGTTTTCGGTGGCTTTGGTAGTGGGTGTACCTTAGTCACCAAAATAATTGGGTCCCAGTCCTGTTTTAAAGGAGAGAGGAGAAGACACCAGTTGGAGTCGTGTATTCTGCACAGAAGCTCGGTTGTGGTCAGAGCACCCAATGCGCGGCCGACTCGGGGTCTGTGAATGTGTCTGACCGCTAGGATGATGTGGGCGTGAGCGAATAAGCGTAACATCGGAGTCAGTGTCAGCTTGGTGAGTTGGTCGAGTGATAACTGAGTTTTCGGCGCCTGTAATTAGTTGACCTAGATGTTGTGTGTCCAGACCTTCCGGCCGCACGGGAATCGTGATCACATGATTTCTAGTGCATCGTAGGTGCCAAAGGTAAAAGGCTAGTACGCGCTCGTCGTCGTCACAATTTTCGGTGTAGTCCTGTTTACCAACGATGATAGCAAGAGCCGGCGTGCGCACTCGACGCTAGACTGCTTTGTCATCGCAAGCGACGCTTATGCGCACATGCGGGACAAAATTTGGCCACCGCACCGGCGGACACATGCTATTATGTGCACGAGGAGGGGAGTCCAGATCGTTGCGTGCCGCATCGGCGTACATGAACTCTCCCCCTCCGACAAGCGTCTCCCACTCGATTACGTCCGTTCTTTGCAGTGACTACGCACGTGCAAATCGACGAGACTTCATTCTGAGCAGAAGTAGATGCCATCGCTGTAACTGTATTCGCCCTACGTTTCGAATTCACGCTCGAACCATCATCAGAGGCAGTATCAGATGCGGGTAACTTATGCAGGAAGTCGCAGAATTTATAAGATGCAGTCGCTACGCTGCCCGTGGCAATTGACGCCTTCCCTCATCATCGAGGATGGTTGCCCCCTGATGCGCTAATTGCTAGATGGCCGGCAAGCTAAGTGATGGTTGCTGAAATTTCATCACCTATATTTGATTTTGGCGCGATGGTGACTCGGCCGCCTGGCTCGCCGGCCTGCGCGCTCCCAGAGTATGGAGTTGGGAGGTCATCGCACTTGTTTATAGACTGGTTTCCCGTGAACCAT